CATGCATTGCAAGAGAAAGAAGTCATGCATCGCAAGAGAAAGAAGTCATGCATTGCGGAGAAGTCATGCATAGCAAGAGAAGGAAAACATGCATAGCAAGACAAAGAATTCATGCATAGCAAGAGAAGGAAATCATGCATAGCAAGAGAAAGAAGTCATGCATCGCGGGAAGAGATTCATGCATAGCAAGAGAATGACTCATGCATCGCGGAAAAGAAGTCATGCATTACGAGAAAAAGATTTGTGCATAGCAAGAAGAAGAAACCATGCATAGCCAGAGAAAAGATTCATGCATAGCCAGAGAAAAGATTCATGCATCGCGAGAAAAAAGATTCATGCATCGCGAGAAAAGAGATTCATGCATTGCAAGAGAAGATTCATACATTGCAAGAGAAGATTCATGCATCGCGGAAAAGTGTCATGCATCGCAAGAGAAAGGAGTTATGCATCGCAAGAGAAAGATTTACCCATCACGAGAAGATATTATTTTTCTTTGTAACAACGACATCAAGAGAACCGTCAACATATTACATCAGCTTATTTTATTGCTTTGACATCAAAAGAAGAGCATATTGAAGATTATATTGCAAATATGAGACACAACCTTTATTTGCTTTATGTCAAATCCGATGGGGTTGACATCAAATGTTCAAGGAGAGCAATTAAGTGTCAACACGGTAAAAGACACTATCTCTCCATTTGAATTGCATTTTATGCTAATGAGTTTTATCTCAGTCTTTGTCGAGAGCATCCAAGAGGATGAATTCTCAAAACAAACCACAGGTGCGGACGACATCAATTAGGATGCAACACAACGTATAGAACTTTTCTTAGCAGCGAACTGGGACATAGTCCAAAGAGGAGCATCAAACTCTTAGGACGCGAGCTGAGGAGCGACTTCCACCACAATCAAACCATACCCCTATCAAAAGGCATGTGGGTTTTCTTAGGTTTGTCGTTTTCAGTTTCGCTTCCGAAATTTTTTTGATCTCTGCCGGAAGCAGCTTTCCGATCCGAGTGACAATGCACCAAGAGCTTTGGAAATTATGTCCGTGTAAGTTCTTAATTATGGGTGTGAAGTGCACCACATTCATGGCTAAGAGGTTACAAGCCTCTTTTTCATACTCGACTTATTTGTCACTCCTCCAGAACCAAAGGATATCTTGCGTAATAAATTTCTTTTTCAACCGATAGAGTCGAACTACAAACAGCCTGATTCCCTGAGTTGAGGGATATGTAGGCGGAATCAATGTTGAAAACTCGGTTTTGTTCCAACACCCTCCTTTAAATCTTATTCCCAAGTGTTTCGGTCTCTTCATAATTCGATATCGGAATAACTTTTGAATTCTTTCAAAATCGTGCGTCAAATCAAGCGTATCGAACTACAAGTGGCCTGAATTCTCATATAGCCTGAGATATGTAGGAAACCCACTTCCGGGGTTCGGCCATAATTCTAAAAGTCCATACCAAGTCCCTTTTCTTTGGATAGAGGTGTGGTCGGTCAAAATTGGATTGGTCAATTTCATTTTCCTCGAATTTCTTGCATCAATCCAAGTAAAATGAGGGACAGTTGTTGACACCCAATTTTAACCCTCCACAATATAAATTAATCATCGAGCTTCTCCAATTTCAAATGATTTAAAATTATTAGTTTTAT